TGCCCTTGGTTACTAACCTGCTCGAGCTAGGACTGGGCTCAATCGGATAGGTTGGAACCCTGGACCACCGTTTCGGTATACTCAAATATTATCACTAGAGGGATAAGGTGATGACCAGACAAACCGAGGGGATCTGAAGTTATAAGGTGAAGTTGACCGAAATGGTTCCATTGGAACATCGTATCCTTCAATATGTGTTTATTTCAGTATCATGATAACTATCTTACTGTAAATGTGCCAATGTGAAATCTTGAACCGTATATGTATCATGCTTAACTTACATGATTTATTAGAACTGCTAGAGTGTCTTGGAACCTCACTAGACTGTTTAGCTCATTCCACATTTTTTGTTTTCCTTAACAGGGTTCAAGACCGAGTGTGCTCGCGAATAGTACTAAGTTGTTTTCTTTTGAAGACCTTAAATTGCATTATAGTAGACGACTGTAGTACATATTCTTTTGGATTGTATTTAAGCTTGAAGGTTAACTAGTTGTGTTTTGGAGTATTTTAAACGTATATTGAAATTATTCGAAGAATTTCTTGATTTGTATTATGGATCGTAATGAGTCCCGGCGAGAGTTGGGCAGGCGTTTCGCGGATACCCTTGAGTTCGCCCTTGGGAGAAGTGGGGCGTCACAGGCTCAAGTAGCAAGGTCGGTCAATTGAGATTTTGGCCGTCCCCCAGTTTAGTTATAAGTCGAGGAGATTCACTCCAAACGACATTCACTTAATCAATTACAATCCAATCATGAACAGTTCAGTTGTACAATCAGTTAAAAGAGAACGAATGCGATAAAGTACATACTCGCCTCAACAATTTTCAATCATTCAATCTATAAGAAGCAATTTACATAATTACAAGAAGTCATGCACTTGGCACTCACCAAGTCAAAACAAAAGTGAGTGAGCGAGCAATTCAGTCTCTAGGCATCCGCTTCGAGATTCTCTTGAAGATCTCCTTGAGCTCCTAAACAATATAACAAGTACTTTCACTCACAATCATGTATTAATCAAGAAAGAAGGTTCACTTATTTAGACTAAATTAAAGTCTCAAAAGAGAACCTTAATCACTCAAAATTGAGGTTCAAAAGTGAGGATTTAACAACACAAAAGAAACTGATTTCCTCCATGAAATTGAGTTTAAAACGATCAATCACTATCAAAAAATAGGGAAAAGTTTCCAAAAACTCATTTCCCATCAAGTCGGAAAATTTCAGTTTTTGGCATTAAATTTAGAAAAATCAGAACTTGCACTCAGTAGGTCCAAAATTAGAAAACTTTACACCGTTGGAATCTTGGTTCAAAGTACTAAAAGTTCCTAGCAGACACTTTTACAAGATTCTAAATGAAAGGCATTCAATTTTTAACTCAAAGTGGCTGATCTGAGCAAGCAAGACAGTTTCAGTCATGTTTTTCGGCAATCTTTGGAATTTCGGCAAAATTCACAGAAAGTGAACCAACCTTTGAAATTTGTAACACAATACAAGTTCCTAACAAAGTTTCAAACAGGCCAAACGGAACTAAATTTGAATTTTTGAGCATTGAGATATAATAGTCTAAAGTTGGCAGGAATTTGAGCACAAGTCAGGAATTTTCTAGATTCGAAAAGCAAAATTTGGGACATCATTTGAGTAACGAAATGGTCTTAGAATAACACCAAATTTGGTACACCTAAACTTCCATATGAGGACTATTTCTCTATCAAATTTCACGTAAAAATTCACGTGGGAAGGTAGTTAACAAAACTACCAAAGTTTAGGAAATTCTCAACCAAATCTGTCCTCTTGCTTTCTTTTCCTTTTTCAAATATTTTGCACCATGAAATCAGTCCCAATTCAGTTCATTTGTGAAAACAAGGTCTAATAACATCTAATAAACAATTGTAGGTAATTGATACCAAAATTTTTGAAACAAAACATCCCAAACCAAACTTAACCATTCATCTAGCATAAAGAGAAAGATTTCCAGATTTCCAGCTTTGTCATGGTTTGGAAGTTAAACCATATCTCACTCAATACAACTTGAAAATTGAGAATGGTTGGTGGCGTTGGAAACTAGATTCAAAACTCTACATTTCATTAGAACAAGTCTTTTTCAAAATCGATTCACAAGTGAGAGAAAATAGAGCCACAAAATACAGCATCTACCTTTCTCTCGGACAGACCATCAGAACAGAACAGTAAATTTTGCCGAATCACTACGGCTCACTCAGTTTGAACTAGAGGGTGAATTTTATACCGTTGGAAAGCTACAATTATCTGGTTTCAAATGCAGCAAACAGAACTCGATTTTGACCTTTGTACAAAGAGTTATGTTTGATCAAAGGTACACTGTTCGGACAGATAGAACTCATTTCTAGATTTCTTCAAATTTCAAGTTTTACTCAACCAAATCAAATGATTTTTGGTAAAAACTTTCTACACATAATATTCCACATATATACATTAGTTTCATAGTCATTTGAGTATCAAAATTTTGAAGCATAGGCAAGGCAATAACAGGATAGATTCGGCCAGCATCCATGCGCAATTTTCCTTCGATCTTTTCTTTATTTCTCACCATAATCTTATCATCTACACACATAACAATCATATTCAAGCAATTACACCTCAAGCCCGCTACCTATAAGTCACCTCAAGATCTCTACCTAAAGATTAAAGCAAAATAAAATGGGTTCCTTAAGTCCTCTACCTAGATTCATGCTTAGGGTTCAAACCCTTGCAAATCCAATCATAAATCTTGTATTAAATGGAGAGATTAGAGGAATGTGTCGCGCCCCATTTTTTTATAAGGAAAAATAAAAGACGAGTTTAGAAAAATGGCTTTTGATTCAATTTTTGATTGAAAAAAATGATTTTTGATTTAAAAAGAAAATGGGCCTAAATGGGACTTGTAATGCGACGATTTGGACCCAAATTATAGTTTAAAAAGGATTTTTGAAATAAAATCGGAGTCGCCACTTGGTAGAGAGTTAAGGTGTACCAAGTCACATAAAAAATGAATTTTAGATAAAATTATGGAAAAATCCTTTTCAAACGACTCCTAAATCTACGAAAATCAGAGAAAGTGTTCGGGAGTCACATTTGAAGAAAGGGAAGGCAAGGATAAAAATCCAAGGCACGCTTTCAACCTAAGCCAAGGCTAGTTGTGTGATTTAGTCAAAAATTTTCTTATTTTTAACCTAAAAATTTATCACATTTGGATGTACTATATGAATGCAAGCCCTAGACCTAAGAGGGTATCGGGGGGTCGAAATTTCTCTTCAAAACTCAATTGGTGCCAATCACATTAATTGTGATGCCCAATGTGGACTCTTCGAAGAAGTCACGAATAATGTAAAAATATGAGACTTTAAGAAAAGAAAAGAAATAAAGTAATTATACAAATATACATGTCTTAAATGAGTGCATCATGTCGGGTACGGGGGACTAATATTCGTGACTCAATTTTCCCTTTAATAGAGGGAATACGAGCGTGCTAAGGCTAAAAAGCCAAATTCGTCCATATCCCATATTCAAGGGTCTATCCCTAATCTAATCAAACAAATGTACTATCCTAATTCTAATTCTTAAATGAAATGCAAATCTAATGTTATGTATCACACATAGGGGGTAAGTAATATACACAAGGAAAATATGGGGGAAGGGATATACGTATAAGAAGGGATGTGTCATGCAACATGGTAAAAAGGCCCTAGAAAGTAAAGACATGCATGAGATGAAGTGATTTTATCACACAATCATGATCTAATGTGTGGATGGTTCCTAAGGGTCTAGCGTTGGACTAGCCCTTAACTAACGTTCTCTCACAAGCATTGGACTTGTAAGAGCTCGAAAGGAAGACCATGACTAGCATTGGACTAGCCACGGTAACGCACATTCCATCCACATAATCAAATATAATACTAAAAGCAAATAGGCATGCAAAACACATAGCTTCACATAGCACGTAACACATAAGCATGCTTGTCTAGATGCAGAATCCTAGGGAAAGCGATTAAACACATAGGCATATAGGCACACACAAACACATAGCACACAAGCCCTATCTATTACAAAAGGGGATGCCTACTACAATCTAAACGGGGAAGACTTGGAAAAGTAAATCCTAACTATTACATTGGCTAGCTAAGACATGTCTTCAAGAGAGGCGCCAAAGCCTAGCTATTACAAATTGGGGTTCAAATGCCCTCAAACGACATGCCAATTAAAGAAGGGCGAAATGAAAAGAAAGGGAAACAGGCAATGAAACATTAATATAATGACAAGCGAATTAAAACATGCACATTCACATAAAACATATAGGAGCACGTAGGAGAAATAAAATCAAGGAGATAGAGGTTACCTCCCTTGCAATGGTAATGACATGAAGGAAATATTAGCTTCAAAACAATAAAAGGGTCAAGGCACCACTTTAATCAAGAAATAATCACATGAAACGAGCATAAGCATGAAATTGAATCAATCCAAGGCGTTTAAAAGGAAGGTGATCAACCCATGTAAAATTAAAACAAGTAATGACATGATTGCAAAAACTAAAGAAGTTTGAGGGGTCAATTTGATTGATTTTTCCAATTATTTGGGCCATAGTGAAATAAGAGGAGACTTAGGGGCCAGAGTGCAATTATCGAAAATTTTTTCATGCAAGTTCATGCAAAGCTACGATACATTGTCTGCAACAAGAAACGTTCCTGGTGAAGCTTTCTGCAACCAAAACATTATTGCAACTTCCATTTTTGCAAGAAGATATCAATCACAACACAAATTTGATCAAAACCCTTCAACCAAACATCCAAAAACCTAATCTAAGCAACATGACACACAATTTCAACATTTAAACAAACCAAAACATAGAAGGAAAATCATGCAAACACTGGAGAATTTTATGCAAAATGGTTCGGCAATCCTGATTTGTTCATTTTCCAGCAAGTGTTCGAACATGATTCAAATGTCTTAGACCCAAACATGCAAACCCATCTTCAGTCATCCAATTTTCTCTCATCAAGTAGGTGATGAGACCCACTCGGCGGGCTGGGCTGTTACGGGAAAGAAAAACAGCAATACACAACAGCAAACACAGCTTTCTATTTACTTCAGCCCGTATGTATTTAGGTGTGAGAAACTCAAAACCAACTCACTAATTGGACAAACAAACACAAGTGCTAGGACCTCATCCCATTGTTGTTAACATGATCATCTATCCTAGGAGGTTCAATCAAATCAACTAGGCCAGAAATGCAGCAAAGAAAGGAGTGAAACTTGCTGTAAAGTCAGTTATGCACACGATCAAATCGTTCCATTGAGGTAGATAAATGAAACTAGACTATGAACCAAAAACATGCAACTTCAGTTTGGTTCAAGCACAACAAAAATGTAGGAGGAACAAAACAGGGAGCGTCAAAGCTACAAGTTCTTTCCTAGCTTCTGGTTTACCGAAACCTTTTACAAAGAAAAATCACCCTCCAAACACTGTAAACTTACTCATTATCAAACATTGGACCCAAAAATGAAAAGAAAAGCTGCAGCAACAAAACTGACAACTTCAAGCTTATTGCAGCAAACATTATATACAAAACATTCTCATGGCCATCAAACCGAGAGTTCAAGTAAAGAAACAAAAGGACAGACTAAGAGGTCATGCGAAATCTGTAAAATTTTGCAACTCTTCTATGTTTACTCTATTAGATTCACAGACCGCACAAACCCATCTCCATCTAACAAAATCGCGCAATCATACAACCCAACGCTAAACAAACCCAGTCAACAGCAACAGGAGGCAAAACTGTGAAGTTTTGCTATGTTTTCAACCTCGGCAAACATCACACAAGTCAAGCAAGCATAACAGTCCCATTGTGAATCATAAACCCAAACCCAAACTTAAACCAAACCTACGAAAACGAAATGAAAGGCTACAAAGGACAACTGAAACAGCAGATAGCAAAAGGGTTGCAAACCAACAATTGAAGAAAACAGTTTCTAATTCTAAGAGATAAGGATATTACCTTAGTCACAAAATGAGTCGGGGAATGACCAAGAAAGGATTCGGATGATTCTGCCAGGCCTTCGAAGGACGTCAATGGGAGAGCAGTGATGATAACGCAGCACCGTCCTCGCAACCCCAAATCTCCTTTCTTCCTCACTCTGTCGCCACTCTACTTCTTCGCTTCCTCCGCCGTCACAAGACTCTACCTATGCTCGTCTTTCCTCAGCTGTCCCAGATTCTTTTCGATCCACCGTTCTCCTCTATTCTCTTATCTCTTATCCTTTCTCTCCAGCCCTCTGTCAAACCCTAGCTCTCTCTCTTTCACCTTCTCTCTAGCCGTCCTTCCTATCTTTTTTTTCTCTCCGTCGCTCCCTAGTTTTCCTCTACCCTTTTCTTAATCAGCCGCCGCCCAGAAGTTTCTCCCCCGCCGTTCCCCTTTTTCTTTCTTGCCGTATGTTTTCTTTATATAGGGAATCACCAGGTCCCTAAAACCCTCAAAATTCATCTTGATGGCTCACAAATGATTTCAACTCCCAGCCCCCCTCCTAGCCATTGATCATGGCTTTGAATTGGAGCTCCTAGATGGAGCCAGATGGCCGGTACTTGCCTAATCTAACTTAGCCAGAAAACACAGTAATGAAAATAGAAGAAAGGCAAGAAACCGCAGAAGCTATCTTTTTTTCATTTTTTCATTTTCATCATTCATTTTTTTTAACAAATAAAGCCGTAAAAGTCAAATAAAAATAAGATTAAAACAAATGAAATGCCCTAAAAAATTTAATTTTGATTGACGGTTTTTCCTTCTTTTTCTCTTTTTTTTCATGAATCATTTAATTAAACAACAATAACCAAAAATAACAATTTAAATAAAAACTTGAATAAAATGAACAAAAAACTAGGAACAAAAGATAAAACAAAAGGCTAAGATTTTTTCTGTGTTTGATTAATGATTTTTTCTCTTTTTTTTCAATTAATAAACAGTAAAAAAGAAATAAAACATATTTTATTTTTTTTGTGAATAATTTTCTCTTTTGACAAATTTTATGCTAAAAGTCTTAAAAATAAAGATAAACAGCTAAAAGGGCAAAAATGAATACAAAATAAAAATAAAAACTAAAATAAAATAATAGATAATAATAATAATCTAAAATGCTATACAAATGCTAAAAAAAAGTCTAAAACCAAAAACATGAAATTAACAAATAAAAATAGATAAAAATTATCACTAAAAACAAAAATAAAATAGAATAAAAATTATTTAAAAATTTGGTGTCTACAGTTTGCCCCTCTTTGTCTGAGTTTTGGAAAAACTTGAGACAAAAAAATAGATACCAAATACTTACCCGTGGTTATCCGGCTGCAAACTAGTCAAATGACTGACGCTTTTGGAATGAGGACTGACCTGAAACAGGAATTTAAAATCGGGACTAACTCGAGACAGGAATTTGAAATCGGGACTGACCCGAGACAGGAATTTAAAATCGGAGAAATTCCAGTATACTTACCTGAAAATAGCCCAATTCAAAATTTTTTTTTTTCATTTTCAAGGTTACGTTTTTGCTTCTGAGCCAAAGGTTGATTCTACATTACCGTTTTGTTGTGCCTTTGATCAAACCTGCTTGCAACTTTACCGATCCGCCTTTGTTTGCTGGAAAACTTTCCGATACCGACTCCAGTGCGAGATGTGATTGTTTTCCTCCATGTATGAAATTTTTCTGTAAAAGAGAAAGAATAAGGAAATTGCCACCATCATTTGATCCGGTTCCCTTTGAGAATCGTGTAAACATGAGTCTTTTGATGCCTTTGTCAACTTTTGCTGTGGTATCTGATTTAGTTGGATTTATTACTTCAAAGACTTTCTGATTTTTCCCAGATTGACCAGGTATGCCTTTAGCCATATTATGAGATCTGTGTAACGGGCCCTGCTGAATTATGACCATTTCCAAAAGGTGACTGAATCCAAGGTATGTTTTGCACAAATCACGGGGATTGTCATTTATTAAAATTCAATGATTAAAAAAATGATGTATGTAAGATAAATTCATATGTCATGCAGAAATGAATATGCAAAAGAATGCAGACACAACCAACGGTGCTTAAACCTACAAAATGCCATGAGTACAAGCAATTTGGAAAAAATGAGCTTCCTAAGAATGTATTTGCAAAAGAATATTTTACAAAATGACACAGCTTTTGGCCAACAGATATCATATTCGAATCTCTAGATATCTTTGTTCTGGAATTTCAACATTGGCAGAAGCATTACAAAACGAAGAGAAATCCAAATGAACCAAGTCACCAGCTGTTCCTCCTCGTGCTCGCTCATTGCAGAACCCTACCTTGGCGCCCTTTCGGGTTTTCACTAAGGTTGCCCCCACCCCCTTTTGTTTTGTTTTGTTTTTCTTTTCTTTTCTTCTTTTTTTTTGTTTTTTTTTTTTTTTTGAGAGGTGCCCTTTCGGGTTTTCACCTAAGGAACAACGGACAATCTCGACCATGATCGACTCAAGAATGTGAGTTGAAGATTGCTAGCATCAGTAAAATGCGCTTCCCTTATAAGCTTAGGCGAAGGCATTGTGGACATCACTTGCCAGTTGATTAGCGAACTTCCTAGTAGAAATACAGCAAGTGACGAAAGCCAGGACTTTGGGCTTTTGTAATGAGGTCAGGTGGGGTGTTTTCAAGAAAGTTGAGGCTTGAAAGCAAAAATTTTTAATGAAAAGTATGAAATAACCTGAGATTGCATCATTTTGAAGTCATTTCCAATTTTGAACGAAAACTGAGGAAAATTTGCCCCAGTTTGATTGGATTTTCCTCATATTTTGTCTTTTCTTTTTTTTCTTTTTCCCTTTTTCCAAAAACTAAATTTGCCCCCAGTGTAGGGTTTTCCCTTTCTTTTGATCCATTTTTCAAAATAAATTTGCCCTAGTGTGGGGTTTACAATTCTCAGGGGCTGCCAAACGAAAATTATTGTTCTGATAGTTCAAAGGGGATGACGAGGGATAAAAATGTTTTGATTGGGAAAAGAAGATGGCCTGACTTTTGTCTCGTCGCTTGCGTAACTTCTAAAAGAAATTTGCATAATCAAATAAAGAACTTCTTACACATGTCTGTGTTGATAGGTTGAGGAAATGTTTGTCCATCCATCTCTGCTAAAATAAGCGCTCCACCAGGTAACACTTTTTGAACAATGAATGGCCCTTGCCAATTTGGAGCAAATTTGCCTTTGGCCTCATCCTGTACTGGCAAAATTCGTTTTAGCACTTTGTCGCCTTCCTCAAATGTACGCAAATGGACTTTCTTGTTGTAGGCCCGGGCCATGCGTTTTTGGTAACATTGGCCATGACAAATAGCATTAAACCGTTTTTCATCAATCAAGGACAGTTGTTCATAACGCTGCTTTATCCAATCAGTCTCTTCCAACCTGGTCTCCATTAGAATACGCAATGAAGGGATTTCGACCTCGGCAGGTAGCACAACTTCCATTCCATACATGAGCGAGTAGGGTGTTGCCCCAGTTGACGTTCGGATAGAAGTCCGATATGCCATTAGTGCATAAGGGAGCTTTTCATGCCAATCACGGTGCCTTTCAGTCATTTTGACGATGATCTTCTTCAAGTTTTTGTTTGCAGCTTCTACGGCTCCATTCATCTGCGGTCTATAGATGGCAGAGTTGCGATGTTTGATTTTGAACTGTTCGCACAGCCCGTCCACCATATCATTGTTGAGATTCTTGGCATTGTCTGTAATCAATGTTTCCGGCAGCCCAAATCGGCATATGATGTGATCTCTTAAGAAATTCGCCACCACCTTCTTTGTCACGTGCTTGAATGATTCTGCTTCGACCCACTTGGTGAAGTACTCAATTGTCACCAATATAAATCGATGCCCATTTGAAGCAGGAGGGTCAATTGTGCCAATCACATCCATACCCCACATCGAGCAGGGCCATGGAGCAATCATGCTATGCAATTCGGTGGGAGGGGCACGTATAACATCGCCATGCATTTGACATTTAATACATCTCCGGACAAAGTCTATGCAATCCCGTTCCATAGTGAGCCAAAAATACCCGGTTCTCATGATTTTCTTAGCTAACAAATGCCCATTCATGTGAGGTCCGCAAACACCGTTATGCACCTCTTTCATCATGTATTGAGCTTCGTCTTCATCGATGCACCTTAAAAGGTTGAAATCTGAGGTTCTTTTGTATAATACCTCTCCATTTAAGAAAAACTTTGAGGCCATTCTACGCAGGAAAACCTTGTCATTTGCACCAGCTTTTGGAGGATAAGACCCGGTTTTGATGAATTCCTTAATATCATTGTACCAAGGGCTTTTGTCAGATGTTTTATCTACGACCCAACAATGAGTAGGCTTGTGTTGGAGTTGAATCCGAATAGGCTCGATTCCTAATTCGTCCGGATATTGTATCATAGAAGATAAGGTGGCCAAAGTATCGGCAAATACATTTCGGGCTCCTGGGAGATGTCTGAATTCCAAACTTTGAAATTGTCTAGCCAATTTTAGCAAATTACAGTGGTATGGCAGAATCTTTGAATCTTTGGTTACCCATTGTTTCAACATTTGGTGCACGAGTAAATCTGAATCACTGAAGTGATGAGGAGGTCGAGAGAGCTATCCAAGTGGAGCAAGTAAAAGTGCCATTGGGGCCTATGACACGAGCCCGCGCAAAGAGATTGAATGAAGCACTACAAATATTTGTTCGTGCAGCCCGAGCGACCAGTGGAGAGCCAAAGGCTATTGAGGGCCTCAACGAAGCTAGAGATGTGATCTTACTCACAGCCATTCAAGAGGATTAGCTACCCAAGATTCGGCCAAGGGCCCATGGCCCTTCATCAGTTAGTAGGGTGTAATAAAGAGGTCCAACACGCCTATGGGTTGGACCTTAGTCGTTGTCAGTCTTTGGCCATAGGCTAGGCCATGTGGGCCACCTTTTTGGGCTAGTGGCGGCCCAAAGGGAAGCCCAAGGGAGGGCCGCTTTTCCTTCAACTTTTTTACAAGCTTTGTTAGGTTTTTAGTTACGGCTACAAATAGCCTTAAGTCGTGGTTTACATTCAGTTTTTGACAATTAATAACAATTACATTGAGAGTTCTCTCAAGCTTCATTGAAGCACCTTGAATATCTTAGATTTGTATCTTAGGTATTCAATTGACTTATCAATCTAGGACTGCGCTAGATTGTGGCGTCTTCTATAATACCGAGGTTCGTTGACCACGTGATCAACGGGTTTAGGTGATCCGCTGCGTTCGTCGTCTTCAACGTGAGTCCCTACCTTCTAGATCCAAGTCTTTTGTACGGGTTGCATCACACGGTTGGTGCCGTTCGTATCATGAAGGCTATTAACTTTTTAACTTCCATTTCCAAAGCCATTTTAAGACCAAAAATACAGGCTTCATATTCAGCCATATTGTTTGTGCAGGCAAATTGCAATTTAGCAGCTCCAGGGTAATGCTTTCCTTCTGGAGATACAATGACGGCTCCGATTCCAGCTCCAAAAGAATTAGCTGCACCATCGAAAAATAATCTCCATTCAGGGCATCGCTCGCTCATATCTTCTACGGCACCAACAAGTAAAACCTCCTCATCGGGGAAATAAGTATGGAGCGGTTGATAGTCATCTTCGTTTGGATTTTCTGCCAAATGATCAGCTATAGCTTGTCCCTTGACGGCCTTTTGCGAAGTAAAAACAATATCAAATTGTGAAAGGATCATCTGCCATTTGGCCAGACGCCCAGTTGGCATCGGCTTCTCCAGAGGTATTTCAGAGGGTCGGAGCGGGAGATGAGATAGGTGGTGTGACTTAGCAGGTAGTGCCTTAATTTTTGAGCTGCCCAGGCCAAAGCACAGCAGCTATTCTCAATAAATGAATAATTAGCCTCATACTGCGTGAATTTCTTGTTAAGATAGTAGATGGCTTGCTCTTTCCTTCCCGAGTCACCGTGCTGCCCCAGAACACACCCCACTGCTCCGTCGAGCATAGATAAGTACATGATCAAAGGCCAGCCCGGTTTGGGTGGCACTAGGACCGGAGGCTGCATCAAATAATCTTTAATCTTGTCAAAAGCTTGTTGGCACTCCTCATTCCCATGCAATGGCACATTCTTTTTTAACAACTTGAACAGTGGCTCGCACGTCGCGGTTAATTGGGCAATGAATCTCCCAATGAAATTGATCTTCCCCAAAAAACTTTTCACATCTTTCTACATCTTTGGCACTGGCATGTCTCGAATTGCCTCGATCTTTGCCGGGTCTATCTCTATGCCCTTTTTGCTGACAATGAAGCCTAATAATTTACCAGCGGGTGCTCCAAAGGCGCACTTTGCAGGATTTAACTTCAAATTGTACTTTCGCAATCTTTCAAACAACTTTCTTAGATCAATCAAATGGTCTTCTGCTTTCTTGAACTTGATTATAATGTCATCCACGTAGACCTCCATCTTCTTGTGGATCATATCGTGAAACAAAGTAGTCATAGTCCTTTGATAAGTTGCTCCGGCATTCTTTAAACCAAACGGCATTACTCGATAGCAATAGGTGCCCCAAGGGGTGATAAAAGCAGTCTTTTCTCTATCCTCCTCAGCCATTAAGATCTGATGATATCCAGCAAAATAATCACAAAAAGATTCAATTTCATGTCCGGCAGTGTTGTCTAGAATGATATGGATATTTGACAAAGGAAAGTCATCTTTAGGACTGGCCTTATTAAGGTCCCTATAATCAACACAGACTCGCACTTCTCCATTTTTCTTTGGAACAGGGACTGGATTCGAGAGCCAAACAGGGTAATGGGATACAATGATAATATTAGTCTTAATCTACTTTTCAATTTGCTCTTTTATTTTGAGGCTCATATCTGGTTTGAATTTACGGGATTTTTGCTTCACTGGTGGAAAAGCTGGGTTTGTAGGTAATCTGTGCACCACTACATCAGTCGAAATGCCGGTCATATCGTCATAAGACCATGCAAACACATCTTGAAATATAGACAAAAATTCGATCATCTCCTCTTTCTGCTTTTTGTTCAAATGAATACTGATTTGTATCTCCTTAACCTCAGTCTCAGTGCCAATGTTAACAACTTCTGTTTCTTCTAGGTTCGGTTTAGATTTCTCCTCATATTGTTTAAGATCTTTTGAAAAAAGAGTCAAATACCTCCTCACTATCACTCTCGCTTTGAAATTTGGATTCCATAACTTCCAAGTCGTGAGTGATATAGAGATTGTCATCATCAGATTCCAGAACAGTGATATCCAAAGGGTCAAATAATTTTATTTTTGGCCATCTGAAAGAATTAAGAAATTTGATACAATAAGCAAATAAACACATAAACGAACAACATGATAAAAACAAACTATGCACTTTCATAAAAACTTTAAATCAAAGCGGAAACAAGATAAGAGCATAAGTACAAAAGATGCTTTCATGGAAATATTTACATATGCAAGAAAAAGTTTTCATGAACTTTAGTAAACGACAACCCCCTTTAGATTTACCGAAACTCCTTTCGTACGGGGAGGTACTTGGTAGCCCAATTGTGTATAACTCCTTCGGGGATGTTTGGAAATTCCACATCATCTGATGGACCATCTTCGGATATTGCTCCCACAAACAACTGAATCAGGCTTGTCTCCACTTCGTCAATTGGACTAAACTCAGATGTAATCACTTCAGCTGGCCTTGGAAAGGTATAGCGTAATGGCGGAATGTCTAAAGCACCTTGCTTGCCTTCTTTTTCTGCCCTTTTGCGTGCTTTCATCTCTTGTATATCTCTGGCAGTCGGACGGAATCCCAAACCAAATAGGTCCTTTTTTTCGATGAGTTCCACGGGCTTCAGAATGCCTTGTAGATTGCGTCCCAATCCCTTATCAAATTCATATCCTCCGCGAATCATCTCCTTGGCCATCATAACACTGGCCGCTGGCAAAACCATTTCGTCTTTTGAATCCTCACTTGTTATCCAACTCACGGAGACAATATCAACTGTACGGTAAGAAGACACTGAAGCATTTCGGTTACCATCCTCCTCAGGCTCGGAATCGGCAATTACAATGCAATCTTCTTCTTCAGCAAAAATGGTTATCAGCTGGTCATTCATCACAAATTTTAATACTTGATGCAAGGAAGAGGGCACAACACCAGAGCTATGAATCCACGGCCGCCCGAGTAAAACATTATAGACACTGGGAAAGTGCATAACTTGGCAGGCTATCTGAAATTGAGCGGGCCCCATTTCGACCACCAAATTTACTTCTCCTATGGACTCTCTTTGGGCTCCATCGAATCCTCGAACTACGGTCTCTGAGGGTTTTAATTTGACATCTTGTAGCCCTAACTTCACCAAAGTGCTCCAAGGACAAATATTGAGAGCAGACCCATTGTCAATCAGCACTTTAGGCAACATTTTGCCATTGCACCTCACAGCTATATATAGAGCCTTGTTATGCCCAGTTCCTTCTATAGGTAGCTCTTCATCAGAGAAAGTGATTTGCTTGGAAGTCAGTACATTCCCAACTATGTGCGAGAAATTGTCGACCGAAATATCCTTGGGAATCTGAGCTTTAGTCAAAACTTGAAGTAACGCATCCCTGTGCAAGTCAGAGGAAAAAAGCAAGTCTAATATGGAAATTTGGGCAGGCATTTTGTTCAGCTGTTCGATCACATTGTACTCGCTTCTTTTAAGCCTCTTGAGAAAATCCCATGCTTCTTTTTCGGCCACTGCGGGTTTTGGAGTCGGCTCATGGTTGCTTAGTTGGATTGGGGCGCTGGCAGTGGATGAACTTGCAATCTTTCCCGACCTCGTAACAGCAGACACTTCTTCCTTCAAAATTTGTTTACCCCCGATTTGCAAAACGGGCTCACTATAATTCCACGGCACTTGTTGTAAACTTAAAACCGGCACTTGTTCTGGGAATTCAATTACCACAGGTTCTAAAGCCGCACTTTCGGATGGAGTTAGATCTAAAATGAAGGGCCTTTTGTCTTCCTCATACGATGCTTCTTCTATCACAAAAGGTTGATCCATTATCCCAAA